GACCAACAGCTCCATCACCTTGAGCTGGACAGCTCCCATGGGCCCAGGTCGTCCTCCCTACACCTACTGGGTCTCGTGGGTCATGGAGGGCATTATGGTCATTAGCACTCAGGATAGCAGGGTCGCTAACACCTCGGATACGAGGATCACAGTGGAGCAGCTGGAAGCTGGGAGCTTCTACACCTTCACTGTCCAGGCGGAGAGGAATGGGGTCAGCAGTGACAACAGGTCACTCACGGAAGCCACTGGTGAGACTCAGGCTGGCTCTAGTCAGACCCAGTACTATGGAGATGGGGGAAGGAGAGGACTGGGGAGACTTTGGCGACCCCACCTAGCGTCACTGGACCTTGAGCTTGTAGGTCTGCATCTCAGAGGAGTCTGTCCTCAGCAGCCAGGGATTTCTAATTACGAGGCTGTCTTTGGGGAGGAAGAGAGCCCCTGACCACCCAGCACCACCCCTCGGGAACCAACAAAGCCAAAGGAGGAGAAGTGCACACCTCGTCCCACTGTATTGGCTTAACCCAAAGGGACTCGCCTCTCAGCCTATACATGGCGGGCTCCAAGTGTGAGACGGGAACCAGGATTATGCCAGGAACTAGGTTCACTGTGGGTGGACGGAACCTGCAACTTTTAGTCTTTGGCCATTTGGGCTAAGAAGACTGAGATCAACAGCTCTGTCTAGAAAGGAGTGTCCAGAAGTAAGGAAGGACCCTGCCTCAAGCTGCTCCTTGGGAAGACAGTGTTGAGAAAGGTGGTGGGTGGGACCCAGGCCTGTAGACTCAGGGCAGAGAGGCCGTGGGGGATCTTGGTCCCCACCTGACCTCTTTTCTGTGGTTCACACTTCCTAGGAAGTGGACTCGTCTGATGACTGAGCAATTAGGGGAGGTGAGCAGGCTCGGGATGGAGGGTCCTTGGCGATACAGCCCCTTGAGCTTCTGTCCCCATTTGTCAGCTCCCAACAGGGTCACGGATCTGCACAAGGAAGCTCAGACCAACAGCTCCATTAGCCTGCGGTGGAAGGCCCCCACAGACCCCCACTCTCAGGCCTACACATACTGGGTCCAGTGGGCCACTGGGGGACATCCCCAAGGTGACCATGACCCCCGAGGACATCACGCCAACCAGATAGGAGAGACCAGTCACACCTACTATGAGGTTCAGGCTCTGGAACCCGGGACTCTGTACAGCTTCAGTGTGTGGGCAGAGAGGAGCAATGTGGCCAGTTCTGCACAGGGCCTCCTTGAATCCACAGGTGAGATGGGTCCCCTTCTACCTGGTGGGGACCTAAGTCAGACCTGGGGACAGTGGGAGGTGAGTGGACTCCAAATCCCATTAGGTCATGGGGTCATGGCTTCATAAGCTGAATTGATACAGAGCGTGCAGGGCTCATGGGAGTTGTAGTTTGAAGGGTGTGTTGTGTGTCCCTTTGAGGAGGACAGACTATGAGACATGAAGAGGGATTTTGGTTCTGGGAAGGAAAGGATGGGCTAGTTCTCAGAGAATTGGCACCACAGGTGGGAAGTCGGGGGGTGGAAAGTCCCCCCATGTGGCTCCTACTGACTCCTCCTGTCCTCTCTTCCCAGCCCCGAGCCCGGTCACCATCACCTCCTGCATGAGCACCTTTGGGGGTCACGGGGTCGTCTTGACCTGGTCCTGCCCCCGTGGAGGCTATGAGGCCTTTGAGTTGCAGGTGGGTGGACAGCAGGACTCTCAGAACAGGTCGTCCTGTGGGAAGTGGGTGTCTGTGTGGGGTCTCTGGCCAGCCCAGTCCTACTCAGCCACTGTCACGACCATCTGGAATGGAATGAGGGCCCCGTCTGCCTCTGTGACCTGCCCCACCGAGAACACAGGTGAGCAGATCCCCCAGGGGATGGGAGCTACAGGGACTCCATCAGGCTCTGCTGGAAGCAGTCTATGTTACCTAAGGGGTCCTGTGTGTTTTTCTGTTTGCTTCGCTTTCTGCCTTCTTTCAAACAGCTTTGTTGGGACATAATTCACGTATCATCCAATGCACCCACTCAAAGTACACAGCTCAGGGTTCCAGAACGTCCGTGGTACTGTGCCACCCCCCACCCCATTTCCTTCACACGGAACACTTTCCTTACTCGCCCTTACTCACCCCCTTAAGCCGTCACCCCCTGATTTCCCCATTTCCCCAGCAACCTAGCCTAGGGAATCTCAAATTCACCTTTTGTCTCTGAATATTTGCCCGTTGAAGATAGTTCCTAAAAACACAGTCAAGCAATATGTGGTCTTCCGTGGCTGGCTTCTCTTACCTGGAAGAACGTTTCTAAGGTCCATCTATGTTGTAGCACGTGTCGATGATCTGTTCCCTTCTTTTTGCCCAGTAATATTCCATTGTATGGAGAGACCACAGTTTGTTTCTCCGTTTGTCTGGGGGTGGAACCCTTGGGTGGTTTCGACGTTTTGGCTGTTACGAGTACGTCTGCTATGAACATTCATGTATGTGATTCTGTGTGGACGCATGTCTTTACTTCTCTTGGGTATATACCCAGAGGACCCCTCATGGGATCAGATGGGCGACTCTATGTTTAATCCTTTGGAGCACCGCCCAAATTTTTTCCAAGGTGGTTGCACCATTTTCCGCTCATCGCTGGGGTGTTTGGGGAAGTTTGAGCCTCTTACTCCGGAAATCGCTGATGGTTTACCTTTGACCGTGGCCCTAGGCTTTGCTGCGCTCTCTCAGTCTCTTCCCGTGAATCAGGACCTCTTATAAGATTGGGTCTGTGATCTGGGGAGAGACGGCAGGTCAGGGCAAGGCTAAGGGGATGCTAGTCACTCCTGGGCTTCTCTGGGCCCAACTGCTGGGGAGGGTGTCTTGCTTAGCAAGCAAGGGCTGTGGGGGACCAGGTCCATGAGGGGAATGGCCTCCCCACCAGGCTGTGTCAGAACCTACCAGGTCTGTTGACAGGTCCTAGTCGCCAAGACTATTGGGAAGCTGCAGGCTAGGGCCCCCGAGGCTGATGGAGGCAGGCTGCGAGCTGGAGTCTGTGCCAAGACCAGGTGTGCAAGGACAGCCCCCGGGAGATCTGTGCCCGTGAGAGCCCGGGACCCAGAACGTCGGCCCCACCATCGCGGGCAAGCCCTTCTGCTAGCAAACAGAACCTTGGAGAAGATAAGCCTCCATTCTGGGGAGAACCTGGCATGCCAACAATGCCGGACAGTGGCTTCCCGACCTTGGCACTATTGGCTTTTGGGGACGGATCATTCTTTGTCCTGTGCATTATAGGGTGTCGAGCAGTACCCCGGCCTCCCCCTACTGGACGCTAGTGTACCACCACTCCAGTTGTGACAAGCCTCAGTGTCTCCAGACATTGGTGATGTGCTCTCTGGGGGCAAAGCGCCCTCGCTGAGGACGATTAGCGTAGGCC